AAACTGGAAGTAAATGAATGAGGATCCTTGCTTTTGAGGGTATTAATGAAGTATAATGAAAGTTATTAATAGTGCACTGAGCGTATGTTTATGTTGGTTAACTTTCTCATGACAGCAGAGCTTAAGGAAATAAACTATATCGGACTTGAGCAGGCAGAATGTAACGCACCGTTGACATCAAAACTGAATAACAAACCGCCGGAACTGTTTCATTATTTATACATTAGGTGGCTTTCTTAGATTTCATTTTCACTTTCAAATGATGTTTTCAATGCTACATTTCGAAACGTAAAGGAAATTCGTCGATCTACATCATCGTTCCGGTTCGATAAAATATAAAGCTTGTACAAACAAGCTAAGACAGACACACGTCTTCTTGTATGGAACGACGCTGAAAATCGAGACAAAAGAATGCAGAAATAATACCCGATTCACTCTAGGGGTCATCAAAAATTAAACTGGGCGCTGTCGAGGCATGCGCGTTATAGCATATGCTTTAACCGTCAAGCTGACAGCTTTAGTTCCGCTTGACCCTCTGAAAAAATGCCCTCGTTAATTCTTGGAACTCTTTTGGTAACCAAATCAAACCACCTGAATATGAGGAGCCTGCTTGGTCCATTTTTGAGAGGGCATATATCCAGTATGCGGAAAAGCTCTATGCGGAAGTTACTACGCAACAAAAAAATGGCGGCTATTATTTTTTACTAATACTGGCCTATGTGCCGATATATCTATACCAAAACAAAAAATTACACACAATTAGAAAAAAAAAACCTCGACAGACTTTACTAATAACTGATATATAATATCCATATGCAATAGGTATAAAAAGACAGCTCTTTGATCCCAATGAGTGGACGATTCTCTTTCTTCTCTCGTTTTCCAACCACTTGATATCCACATGGGCAAAGTAAACCCGTGAATTTAGAGCACTTATTTTTCGCGTGTGTAACTGCTACATCCATCAGCACTTTTAGACATCTTGATTGTTGGTCATCGTGAACAATATTATAAAATTGTATATAAAATATAATCCAAGAAAGCTAACACAAGGCTAGAAAATGCCTGGATGGCAGAAAAATGCAGTCTGAGACGAATTTAGAGAAATAGGAATAAAATGATAAATATATCGGGAGAAATTCATCACAAACTAAATCGATCCGAAGAAAGTTTACATGGATCGAGAAGAGAAAAAAAAAAGATAGGAAAATTAGAGAAATAGGGAATATAGGGTACAACAAAAAGATGTAAAAAAATTAACAAAAACAAAACAAAACAAAAACAAAAGCAATATAGACGAGCACAAATAAATAAATAAATAAATAAATAATCTATTAATAAGTTTATTACTAACAGTAAATAAATAAATAGTTATTTGTTTTTGATTAATTATTTATTGATTTATTGATTAATTAAAAATATAGAACTGATTTTTTGAGCCAAACAATTAATTACGGTTAAATTGACGAGGTTTCTCGTGAGCGAGATGCATTGTGGTTATTCGATTCAAACCAAAATTGCGGACCATATTTTTGGTTAATAATATTAATTATTACTATTACTATTTTTTCTTTCGTTCATCCTATTCGCTTGCTTGCTATTATATTATACTTCTATTAATAATGACTTTTTTCTACTAACAATTTTCCAGTTATAGTTTTCATCGTCTCAGTAGTAGTTTTGCGTTGGGGTACATGGATTCCTTGATTGGGGCACGGAATAGAGGAGAAGCCAAGACCCTCCCAATTATTTTGTCATCACAAGACACAAAACTATTTGATTCACAGAAATTGCCGCTGTTGCAACCCCCGGTAACCAAAAATAAATAAAAAAAACCCAGATGAAACAAACAAAGGTTAGTACAAACAGACCATAGACTAATGAGTTCATTTATAACGCATTTATTTGTATTATATAAAAAGAAGGTAGAAAAATGTAGCATAAAAAGTTATTATGAAGATATGTGTTAAACAATGGTATCAAAATGGTATAGTCGTATAGGCTCAAAGGATTTTGGTTGGACTTACGGTCTTGGATATAAAACGTTGTTGCAAATGATCTCCTGTTTGTGCACGTAGAAATGCCATTTAGGACCGAATGTTAGGATGTATTTGCGCAATCAAATAATAGTGTCTTGAGTGTTCTTAGGGGATGGTAGGGAGGGAGGGAGGGAGGGACGGGTGGAGGCGTCAACGTTTCAGTCCAAGTTCGTAGTCCATTTGCACTCGAGCGTGCAATGCATATGATATAGGCATTATGTTTACTAAGTGATTAAGAATAGTTCTAAGCTTGGCTATAATTTTTGATCGACTATGTATGATGTTACAAGGTGAACTTTCATGGTTTTCACAATACGTCATTTATCTAAACAAAGTCTAAAAGCAGGAAGTTACCTCTACTTATCGTCAGGGGAGGGGGTGGGTTGGGTATGGAGGSGCGTGTCAAATCGAATCAACGTGGMACAAGAGATCTTCTTTGTCAAACCACTCTCGTACCTTCAGCTTGACACTGGTCTATTCTGGAGGTTCAAAAACACTAATGTTCTCAGACCATATCTGAGGACATTGTGAACTATCTAATTGTCTAAAAAGACTGCAATACAATGAACAAGTCGGTCGAAACTTCGTGAAACTACAGGCTAGGTATACTAAAGWACACCTTGTAACATCAACACRGAACAGTCTTCATCCTACATGCTTCCGACGCTGTCRTGCATTTCTCACATGCGGTAAGTACACCTTTAATGTGGCCTAGTCGTGTTATATTTGACTTGGGACGTTTAYATTTGAAAGCACACACMTTTTTAGACATATACGCRTCCAATACAACTGGAGAAAACATCGTTTTTGAAGAAAACGCTTCGAGAAACCGAAAATTTCTGAAGCGCGCCATCCTCTTCTCAAAGTCGAATAAAAATGGTGGCATGGAACGTTTCTAGTTGAAAAATGTCGTCTAGATATGAAAGACGCTAAACTATAGATCATTTTATCATTTTATCAAAAGTTCCGATCTAAAGTAAGCCTAACACAACCACCACCTTTTGTTTTTCCGAGTATATACGTTTACAC